ATTGTTCTGACACACAACACAAAACTATCCACAACACTACACACTAACTACACAAGACAACACATTACACACTCCAAACAAGCTGAACGTCACAAATCTCTCACATCTCAAAACTCTTTTTCTGCTGTCTTTCTTTCTCTCTCTCTCGCCCTCACTCCAAAAACTTCCCCTGTTTTTTTTTCTCTCATAAGCAGAGAGTGCTTGCTAGCTCTGTCCTTAGACAGTAAACGTGACGAAACTATTGAGGAAAAAACGCCGCGTAGCTCCAGGTGTTGTGCCAAAAAGTGATCGTGATTACTGTCCATGGGAGAGCGCGCAGCTGCTTAAAGCTGTAGCGTCCAGATTACTTACAGCTACTTCCATGCAACTGATATAAGATGCGGTAAGCTGAAGAAAGCTTCAACCGTCTGTTTGTTGAAAAATAGGAACGGACCGTATTTTCTTGTTAGTAACTGTAACGCCGTTATAACAATAGGAATAGTATTTAGTTAGATTACTTGTTACTGAAAAACTTGTTACTAACGCCGTTACTTGTAACGCTGTTATTCCCATCACTGATTATAATGCCATCATTCTATATGTCACTGTAATTAAATTACAGTACAGTCACAAAACAAGATCTGCAAAGCAGACTTGTAGCATCCCAGCTCTTTTTGTTGCAGAGGGCTGCAACAGCAGACCAGTAACCACAAAAGTACAATGATAAATCACCAAAGAATGATTGACTCCCCCCCCTTTTATTATACTTGTATTATAAACAACTTGCCAGTGGGCCCTTAAAGTGGACATAAGAAAAATACTAATTTACATAACAAAGTCCTTCTCTCAAAAACGGACATAGATGTAACACTGTCTGTGAAGCTGGATTTAGCGCCATCTTGTGCTAGTACAGAACACTATGTCAGTGGTTTGGTTGGTTGCTGGTAATAGACTTGCATTAGTTTGTGTTAGCTAACTAGTAACAGAACCAATAACTCAGGGGGAAATAAGGCCACTAAAGCTAAAATTCAGTTTAATGGGGTCACTTTATTGTTGCCTGTAATGAGTTTTATGTTAAGAAGTCATGGATATGGCCCTCTTTCACTCTCTTTCACTGAAGTAGTAAATGGTTCCTCGTTGTTTGACTAGCCTCTATTTCTAATAAACAGTTCTTTATTTGTCCACTTCAATCTAATCAAATAAATACAATTTAAAAGAAAAATAATTCAGAAAATTTCTAAGACATATAGAACTTAATTTTCCATTCAGCTTATTGTTTGCTTGGTTGTTACTTGTTAAGATTGCTTATATTTTTTTCTGTTTGGTTGCAACTTAATATTTTAAATTATTCTTCAGATTTCTTTAAACCCTAATATTGTGCATACGTGTTAATGTACTCATCCTTTCTATATATTTTATGAAGGTTTTT